AGAGAGAAAGAACGAAGCTAATAGATGTAGAGAAAAAGAAGAAACAGGAGAGAAATAAACGAAGCGGCCGATGAAGAGTACGAAGAGAAATAGCCGGCACAATCACGTGCGGGTTCGAGAGGTCAAGATCAAGTTGCCGAGAGAGATGCGATCTGGAACCCGCGAATACTGAGAGAAAAGGAGAGGTACGACGAGAGAGCGTGGGAGAAAGGAGGAGAATAACGCGGTCTCCTAACACCGACTTAAAAATAAGATGGCAATCGGCCAATGCTCCTATTTGACTACACGCGATTTTTTAACCAATTTTCGCCTTTCTTCTCGTAAACGTAAGAACGTGATGTTGTACAATAGTTTGATAATAATCGGACAAGAATGATTATATTTCGCATAATTTCATAAATAGATGTAACGTTTAATATGTTGAGTTTACAATATAATCACAATTTAGTTGTATAAAAAGAACTGAAGGAAGGAGAGATAAGGCCGCACGTTCTTTCAATATTGAAGGAGAGATGCGTTTATCTCTAAAATCCCTTGGATACGTGGTCGACGTAGCTATTCCGAATTGGGGAGTCTTAATGAAAGCACGTGCGGACTCGCCTTTGTCGCTCGCTAAAGATTTCGACACAGCAGACGCAGCTTAATTAAGCGAAACCAGTATACAGTCTTGTCTGTATGTTTACGTGCCGCTGAATATCCACGTGAATACACATTCAACTATAACGGGTGTTTCATAATCGGTTATAATTGTTACCTCTACTTAAATCTTGCATATTAATATAATAATTTTTTAGTCGAAATTTTATATTTGCAATGTATTCGATTTTAATGTCATACGGCTTTACCATTCTCTTCCTTTCCTACATTTCTAAAAATTTTCCGTAATTCGAAAAATGGTGAAAGTTTTGCAAAAAATAAATCTACTATTGTAAAAGATTATTTATCAAAAAATATTTATTTTAGAATATATCATCTTTAAAATTTTCAAAATATGACACTTAAATTTTTCATATATATGTATTCAAATGTTAAAAGAATCGCTACGATTTCACTTGATAAATTAAAAATTAAGCTGCGAGAACATCGTGATGTAGAAATTCAAACTATTTTTAGTTATACGGACATCTGTTTTACATCGTATCTCGAATGGTCGGGTTTATTATAATCCTGATTAACTGAGTCAAAGATGAGTGGAAGACGAGAAAAGATCTTGCGAAAAGAAGCTTGCGGGGATCTGAGGCAAAGCTCTACTTTAAATGGAATCCCATTTTGAGAAGCTGCATACAGTTTAATTAAGCCAGACCCATTTCGCTTGTGTCTACAAACGGTATTTTGCAGTAATGCCTCGACCATCTCTCTCTCTCTCTCCCTCTTCTTCTCGCTCTCTGTTCAACCTCTCTATAGAGCGGATGCCAGTTGAAGGAAGTCCAAGTTCGCCTAAGTCTCGATTCTCGAGTGTCCGTCCTAATGAATTGCTAAACTATCCCGAATCGCCTCTCAAACGAAAGCTCGTCTTGCTTGAACGGCTACCCTGCTTTGTACTCCGTTTAATGCTCGATTAATCAAAAGTATTAATTTCGAAAGTAAGAAAGTTTGCAAAGTTGAGAAAATTCTATCGGTTAATGGTTTATAAAAAACGATTAGAATTGATTAGATATTAATTATAATGGAAAATAGAAAATTGGAATTAAGAAAATTTTACTTTAATTCATTTAAAAAGTAATGGAGGACAATTAATTTCTTTTTTAAATTTAATCTCATATATATAAAACTATTACATTTTCAAATTCAGAATTATATTTTGAGAGTAATTTTTTTCTATCCAGGGAATTTTTTGATATCAATATTATTCAAGGTATAAATAATCATATGTAGAGACGACTCAATTAGCACAAATTAATTCTTTATTATTCAAACAATGCAAGAAAGCACATGTCAAAAAATATTAGTTAAATTTGAAAGAGTAATGTAACGAATCTTGACTCTGATACAATGTTTTCAGTTTCTCTCGTTTCTCTCTACAATATTTTTCTTTATCTACAATATCGACCATCTTTATTGAAATTTATACTTGAAAAGGACCACAACCAAATGGTCGAAACGTCGTATGTTTGAATAATAAAGAATTAATTTGTGCTAGTTGAGTCGTCTCTACATATAATTATTTATACCTTGAATTAATTTACTAGCGAGTTTTTTTTAACATTGAGAATTTGACATCAATATTATTATTGTTTTATATTTTTGGTCATTTTATTCTATACAGTATTTTATCTCATTTTATTGAACATGTTCAATATTTACTTGAATTATCTTAAGATAATAGCTGTTAATTCTAAATTTTTTTTAGTCAAAATGCTGCATAGATATTTTTTAGAAGTGCAAGTGCAATAAATAGCAAGTTCTACTGCTTACAACTTTATATTAATTGTTTGCTAATATGAGAGACTCAATATAAATTTACCGGAATAATTCAAAGATTAAATAGTATTCAATTATACATGATAAATTATGATGTGATTACTAATAACTGCTAGAATAATGAAGGTTATTACATACTATAGGAATCTCAGAATAACAAACTCTTTCATAGTTTAATATGTCGCAATAAATAAGAACTAATAATACGTAATTCATATCACACGTAGCTCGATTAATTATAAAATTCTAGCATTAATAATTCTAGCATAATTCTGTAAGAGAATTAGATACAAATAAAAATGCAATAAGATATAAATAGGATAATAAGATGCAAATAAAAATAGAAGGAAGAAAAAGAAAGAAAGAGAGAGAGAGAAATACAAAAGAGTAAAAGACAAGAATGAATGACAAATGTGCAACAGGGGGTGATGATACAGCAATGTAGTGGGGTGGATGCAGAAAGAGGGAGAAGATATCGGGGGTAGAAATAAAATTACGAGGCTGTTTACAGGAGGTTGTTAAAGCGATCTAACTCATGGCCGGCCATTGCTCCCGCCAGGCTTGGCTACGCACTTGCAACATTATTCACGCTTTGTACAGGTCGCCTCAAATGTAACTTTAGTTTTGTAATTCAAGAATCAAGATGCTTAAATATTTGTATTTAATTTCTTAAATATTTGTGTTTTAAATCATCGATTTATTAAAATAATCGCGTTATTTATTTATAACAACTTGATGATTTCTCCAAATTCAAGGATAGAACGAATAGGAGAGAGGGAAGTGTGTTATTGTTCTTCGGTCCCCATCCGGCGACTCATAGGCGAATTAATACTCGACTGTTACTTCGCTTGCGCACGTTGCACCCCAAGGCATTCTGCCCTTTGAGGGCAATTCCCCCCTGATCCGCATTCCCGCCTTCCTAACCACGTCTTTGCCGAAGTAAACTCAACGACTCCAACGCGAGCATTCCGTGCGAAGTATTTATTCATCAGCGTACCCCTGGTACGTTGAACACAGCCGTTACAAGAATTTCATAATGCCGCTGTCACGCGCTGTGCCATTGATTGAAGGATCACCTTTCCCCTTCACCTTCTCCCTCCATCCCCGATCGCCGTTAATTTCCTGCCACCGCAAAAATGTTACCAGCGATTAGGATGAGGAAGCTTCTATAGTATCCTGCAAAGCGATTTATACAAAAAGATATTGGTTTTCATTTATACAACGTTTTAATTTTGAAGGTTTTATTTAAAGAATAAAAGTGGACAAAGTTACTAAAGATTTTTTGCTTAGAATTTTTTTATATTTTTAAAAAAGTTTTTTTATATTTTTTATATTTCTTAAAATTAATATTATTAATATTATTAATTAGAACATTTATTACATGATTAGCCTCAATATTTTCGATAAAGAAAGTAATATTCGCATCTTGAAGAAGCCATAGTGAAAAGATATTCGACGTTTTCGGAACACCTTGTATAGTATATATGTATGTCGAGTGCCTAGCAGACATAGACATAAGGACACGTGGATAGAAATGCGTCTACTTACGCTTGAAACACGTCCACTTCGCGACTCGCAGGATATAATACCGTTTGATGACGTCATTAAGTCAGAGTTGGGTTTATTGTTTCTCGTAAAATGTACGTGCAATCTCTCTCTATCTCTGGATGATTTTCTTAGTTAAGCTTTGTCCATACTGTGTCATCCTTCTCAACAAGATATTGATTAAAATAAGTAAAAGGAGTTAAAATCGACAGTTTATTTTAAATTTATATTATATTAAAAATGTGCTGATTATTTAATGAAGAATTTTCAAATTGTCTTAAATTTACATTTTTTTTAAACGAGACAAAATTTCACACAACTATTTAATTGGGATTAAAATTAGGATTGATTAGTGATTTTAAGGTAGAGAAGAAATTTTTAGTGATCAGAATTCCTTGAATATGTATAATATTAAATTATATTAATGCTGTTATTATATTAAGTAAAGTTAAATAATTGCATCTTTTAATACACATTTTCTATTGCGAAAAATATTTTTAAAAAATCAGACTACACATTAATTTTATTTGACAGGAAGTATAGAAAAATAGAAGACAAGAAATCGTTTACAATTTAATATTGTAAACGTCTGGAAAACATCATTTTTTTCATTATTTCTCCAATTAATTTTTTTCTATTTTTTTGCTTTCTTTCTTTTTGTGTGAACCCGCCTTAATTCTTCCGCGCTCTCGTTCTTTTATTGTCGCGGTCTTTATTTTCTAGAATAGGTAGTTATAAATCGCTCATAAATTTATAATTAAATGCAATTTAACACACGCAGTATGCACACATCTTTATTAAAACGTCGAAAGTAAATGTCATCCCACACTGATTAAAATATCATTTAAGACAAAACTTCTTAATATCTTGTACGGTGGTTTTTAAGAATGATTGATAACGCAAGATGATGTACATGAAAATGTTATCTGATTTTAGTATTAATATTGATAATATTTTATAGTATTTAGTGTTAGTATCAATAATATTTTTAATAATGTTACACTCGTAATGTAACGAATTTTTTGTTGTTGCAGGAGAGCTCATCTTAGGACTTGCCTTGAGAAGCTGAAGCTGCTGGTGCCACTTGGGCCTGAAACTTCGAGGCACACTACATTGGGTCTTTTAACCAAGGCCAAGCGCTTTATCAAGGTGAGTCTGATGGATGTTATCAAGGCAAACTTGATGAAAAATTATGAGAAGTCATAAAAAGCGCAAAAGATAAAAAGTTACAGGAAATCATTCTTTTATTTTCAATAATTAGTAATTACTTTAGGCTTATCATATTCAAAGTTTATCATACAATAGAGTACAAAAGAAAAATTATTATTGTGAAAAATCACAATAATAATTTTCTTATACATATACATACAATATTTGAGATTCGAGATATAACAGATAAAATGTAACCTGTGGCGCATTTGAAATGTATTGTTTTTCAATTGGGATAATTTCGGAAGAAACAAAAATGAAGGTGAAGAAAGAATATCACGCGGTATAAAAAGCAGAGTAAAAAGGTGTAGCAATGGAGTGGCAACGCATACAATGGATGCGTAGTTAATAAATTACAGATTGCCAGGGACAATGGCATGTGTACTGTGTAAGTGCGTGTGCGCGCGTCCATGTTTTTCACGCAGTCTACAGGGTGATGTGGATAGAAGCACACGCAAATTCTAACAGGTGATGAGGATGTTAAGCATATTTCCATTAGCAATGATTTTTGTAAATAGTATTTAAAATATATACTATTTGTTCGGTCACTCTATGTACATATATACACGTCCAATGCGTATTTTTGAGATGTACTTAACGTGATAGTGTGACTCGCTCATTTTTTATCTAATTTATTTTTTTAAATTTCAAGTTTCTCTCTTTCTCGGTATAATAAAAAATATCGTTTAAATATTTTTATCTTTAGAGAAAGAAAGAAAAATTTTAGGAATAATTGAAAAGAAATTTTAATAATGAAATATGTAGGTGTGAAAATTATTAACTTGAATAAATTATATAATTTTAATAAAAATAAATTTGATTAATATAAGAGACAAATAGTTGTAAATGATAAGTATTACTTTATATATTGTATAATTAATATATTGTATAAGCTTTATATGCTGATATAATTTCTAATCATCTGTCAAAATTTGTGCACTTATATTCGCAACACCCTGTAGAATGACAGGCAACAGTGCGTATCCACCGTTCATTTGTGCATGCATAGTCCGCGTGGGAGACTTAGCGTGTACATCAATCTGACTCGCAGATACTTATGTACATTATATGCTTGCGTTAGATACGTTAGAAAAATGTTCGCTAGTCCGCCATTTGAGGAGAAAAGTTGCTGCGCACAATTTAAGTTCATCGGTAAGATTGAGCATCAATCAGAAATATAGTGATATTTTAACGTAAAAAATAATTTTAAAATATGCAATACTATCCTAAGACGTTTATATGAATATTTCATAAAATTAAAACTCTCGGGATTCGATTTTGCAAAGATTTAAAGCAAAAATTTGGTCGACGAAATAGAGAAAGGGAAGATGGAGGAGGAAAAAAGTAAGTTAAAAGAGGATAAATGGAAGCTAAGAAGGCAGCGGGAAGAGGAATCGAGAGACACGAAAGTGTCATTTCTCTGCAAGAATAGCTTATACATTCTCACGAAGAAGTAAAGCAGAGAAAAGAGTGAAACACAGGGAAGGAAGAGCAGAGGGGCGAAGCGGACTTGTATTTTGTGCGGTTGGCGACGTGTAATTCTTCATTTGTCTGCCTCTCTGAACTTCTTCCCTTCTATTTTTCGCCTTATCTTTTTCACACTCTCAATGAGACATCTTCGTCGCCATTTTTATGGCTAATTATTTCACGCCCTCTTATCTTTGTTTTTTACTCTATTCATCTCTTGGCATAATATTTTTATCCAGAATTTCTGAGAGAAATTTATAATTTTTTAAAAATTATTTACTATGATATTTTTTGTTACACATGTATAAATATTTTTAATGTCAACTCTGCAACGAAATTAAATATTTTTCTTATTAATTACGTGACAAAGTGTTCGTGAAAATTTTGATGCCGATTATATCAGTTAATGGCACAACGTAAACGGTAGGAGTGAACCGAATTGTGAGGTCGGTCGATTTGTTTTACTGAAGAGGTTTATCCTGTTTCACCCTCGCCTTAACCTCGTTTCATTTACGTTGTAAATTCATATCAGGCTGAATGGAAATCGAGCACGAAATCAGGAACTTTCCTAACGTGGTACCAGCCACATACAATCGACATAAACACACACGCAGACACATTTCTTTATCGTATGGAACTGTTATCTGCGATCAGGTGATTCCGTCACCTGCTACTTCCACCCTTGTGTCATCCACATTCGGATCGCCATTGATTTCTAACTATCTAGCTTTTCAAGTTCGCAAGTGAGAAATATCGACAAGATAATAATGGCAAAACGATCTTCATTATTTGTATAAATATTATAATATAACAATATACGTATATACATATAATATATATGTTATATAACAATATACAATAATAATTTGTTTGGAATCAGTGGCTCCGATAGCAGCTCTGAAAGGAGATTAAATTCATATGAAAATATTTTAAAGTTTAAAATAAAATCCAGAAACTAAAATCTTTCAAGAGCGCTAACGCAAGATTTTAAAGATCTTACATTTTGCAAACTTTCAAAATGGGACTTGAAAAATTTCATAATTAACGCACTTCAAATATTGCGCAGTAATATATGCATTAGTGCTTTATTATTTCCCGTTCGGCAATTTGCACCGGAATTGGCCAGCCTCTTCTAGGTAAGCATTCATTGTTGCGTTACGAAATGGCATGTTGTGTACAATAGAAAGGAAACCGATTATCGGCCAATATCGATCAGGACAAAGAGAACGAAAAGATTTACACATATACACTGTAAACAATTTTTGTGTAAATTTATACTATTATAGTGGGTAAAATTGAGACCAATTATTAAAGGTGTATATTTACATACATTAGTAAATTTACATTTCATAGATAAAATTATTATCTTAAATGATAAGCATCTTGTACTAATAAATTTACATGTTAGAAGTAGATTTCTAGAAATGTTTATGTAATAATACATTATGTATTTATACAATTTCACATATTACATTTAATTTAAAATTACATACATAATTAGTGTAACAATTACGCTATTTATAACGAAAATATATAAATTCATGTACTTTTACAAAAATTTACAAAAATTTACAAAAATTAGTTATTTTATTCTTTATTGTGTAAATATTCGTTTATATTTGATAAGAAATTACAAGGTTAAAAGTGTAATTTTTAAATTTTATATAAATGTTAAAAAAAATTGTACATTTACATAAAATCCAAAAATTACACTTTTAACCTTGTAATTTCTCATCAAATATAAACGAATATTTACACAATAAAGAGTAAAAAAACTAATTTTTGTAAAAGTACATGAATTTATATATTTCCGTTATAAATAGCGTAATTGTTACACTGATTATATGTGTAATTTTACATACTTTTTTTACAGTGTACGATGACAAATGAATGATTAAAAGTTTTACGTGTAATGACTTACATTTTTCCACATACGATCAAAGTAAAGCAACAAACAAATGCAAATGAATAATCGTGAATAAATCTTCCACGACTGTTGTAATCATTATTATTAAATCGTAACTGTATTAATAATAAATCTTTTAGAAAATTAATATAAATCTAATAGTAAATTAATATAAATCTAATAATATAATTTCTACTTATTATGTATATGAAACATCATACACACACTTTATATGTACATATATATCATCATATTGATTGTATTGCAGAATCTAGAAGATCGCGATCGTAAGCACATCATACACAAGGAGCAGCTGTCGCGCGAACAGAGGTTCCTGAGACGACGACTCGAACAGCTGACGAGCCAGACCGGCCTCCACGGCCTTCACGCGCTTCACGGCCTCCACGGGCTCAGTACGAGCGCGCCGACCGGCTCTGCCGCTGCCGCCGCCGCCGCCGCCTCCGCGGCGATGCTGTCTAAGCGGCGCAGCATCTCCGAGTGCTCCCTGGGCACGGCGTCCACCAGCTCCACCGGGAGCTCCATAAACTCCGACAGGTCTGCGGGCAGTCCATCCGTCTCGGAGTCCGGTGAGTACGACTCAAGATACGGATCTGTTCCACTTGCATCAGATTTTCAATCAAATGTCATTTTTCGACGCCCTTTTCGCTCTTTTCGATTTCAAAATCGTGGGTAATATTAAGTTTCTCAACATTATTATATTCGAAAAATTGCTAGCATTTTATACAAATTTGTAACACTTTATTAGAAATGTTTTTATTATAAAATTTTCCAAATTGAAATTTTGACAGATTCCGGTATTTTATATGTAACAATCTCCGACATAATTATAGTCTTTGACTGAAATAAAATAATAAATGCAAACACATTGATTCCGTAATAATATGGTTTATTTTCTTTTTATTTTTTTTATTTTTTTATTCCTCTTTCCGGATTAAGATCTTTTCCGTGTAACTTATCACGTTCTCGAGACCAGGTCTTCAAAGTACTTGACAAGTATCCGAAGATTTTCGTCAGCAATCTTATCTTCTCTCCCTGGTCAGCCGATTAAATCTTAATCGTCGCGAGTCGGGATTGAGACGGAAAGCTACGATGGAAGCCACGTCGGCTGCTCTATCTGCATCGTAAAATTAAATGCGAGTGGATCTATTTAATTTCCCGAAGCGTCATTGTTTAAGCACGGCGTGCAGTCATAACGCATAACAAATCAAATATATATATCACGACGTACAATAATGAACGCGAGTGACTTTTCGAGCATAAATTTGCGATCTGTAATTTGCTTCGAAAAAATATCCATATAGTGACAAAAAAATTGTTTATATCATTCAAATTCATATAAACTTTTTTCCATTTTTGAGTCTAGCATAATACGTTTTCTAACTTTTAAGTTATTTTATATATACAGACTCCATGATGAGAGGAGACATTGCTCGATTATTGATTCATTCGAGCGTTTATTCTTTCGCGTTTTTTATTATCTGACGATTTGAGATTATGTAATTATATTCTTGGGTAAAGTTTCAAAAATTCGAATTATTGTTTGTGCTGAGACACCACTATAGCGTCGTAAAAGTGCATTTCGCTACCGCATGAAATATCACAGCGTGCGGGGGTGGATGAGTTTTCCAAAGGAGTTGAGCTGGAGAAAAAGGAGGTCGAGCCGGCAAAGAAGGTGAAGGAAATCGGAAGACTGTCGGTGGGGGTATACGCGCGAGGGGTCGACGTTGAAATTGATGATCCCGCGGGAATATCCCCGGCGAAGCACTTATCATAAGTCACGTGTGCCACGCCGGCGATTTTTCGAAAGCCACCCCCAATTTTCCGCACTTTTCTACGTCGTTCATAATAGTGGCGTTAAATATCTTTAACACGATTGATTAAGAAAAATGTATCGTCTTTCTATGTCCTTATACCGATGCTATAACTGTTGTTGACATATATGGCGTTGTCTAGATGTCATAATTACAAATTAATCATCTAGTCATTACTTGATATGTTTGCTCTGTCGGTTTAAATATAAGATTTGAATTGAGAGAGAGAGAGAACAAAAGATGATTATATTGTATATTATAGTTAAGCGAAAATCAATTCTTTCCCTCTTTACCTCTCTCTTCATACACATAATTATTTCAAGGCGACTTCTAGCATTTTAATATTATGAGATTGTTATGTTTAAAATATAATTTTAATAAAATATAATTTTAAAATATTTTAAAATATAATTTTAATAAGCTACAAATAACATTCTTCCTTATGATTTCAATTCTAGATATTAATAACAAATCTCTTTGATCAGTTGTATGACGCATTAAAAAAAATATAGTTACACAATACGTGTCGGAAATCATTCGTTAAATTTCTTCCTATTAATATATTTACGAGCCATTTAAATATTAGTCTTTTACAGCAAAATTATCACGTTACTTCAACTTGAAAGTAAAAAAGAAATATTGTCAGAAGTGGGATTCGAACCCACGCCCACAGAAGTGGACTGCGACCTGAACGCAGCGCCTTAGACCGCTCGGCCATCCTGACATAATATTACATCGCTAAAGGCTGAGACATAAGGTTTCTTCTTTATAGTTGAAATCGGAGCGGAATACGATAAATATATATTTTAAAAATGGGAAAAAAATATATTTATATATATATTATATATATATATATATATATATATATAAATATATTTTTTTCCCATTTTTAAAATATATATTTATCGTATTCGTTTTTTTTCCCATATATATATATATATATATATATACTATTTTATATATCAAATAGTGCAAAAAGTTCAACTGCAAAGAACAAATCATTTAACTTAAATGCGAATCGCGAAGTAGAAGTAAAAAACCTTTTTAGCAAATTATAAATAAAATTTTCTCATTTATTTATTTATTTAAACAATTTTATACAACATTAATATGCTAGAAGGTATTTGAAATAATTATGTGTGTTAAAAACAAAAAAGAAAAAATGGTTTTCATCCAATCCCATAACATACTAATCAGCGAATGAATGGAATTCTTTAGAAATAATTAATTTTAATTCTTTCAAATAGTTTTTAGACATTTTACTATTTTCTCTCTCTGTTTCTCAATTAAAATTTTATGTGGAGTTTTTTCTCTATATATATAGTTTTATATATAGTTTTTCTTAAATTTTCTAATCAATTATCGATTAAAATAAGTTGAATATATTTGAAAAATGACGGAAAAAGAGGTGACTCAACTGAATGAAAATAATTTATCGATTTTCAGCGATTCTTATGCACTCGCTTTTACACACTTGCTCGAGCTCTCATTCGATATATTTAAACTCACAATGACAAGGAAAGGGGGAGAAGAGGCAGGCAGGAGTGGTGAGACTATTTGTCAACAGTCGTGCATATGTACTTTAGTCGTCGTCGGTAAATTATATCCGCGGGCACGGAAATATTGACCGTCCGGAATTTCTCGGCGAAGCTCTCCGAAAGTTTCCCTATGTTTCAGGTGTGCGATTGCGTATCTCTCACGCACGTCATATGACCGGTCAAATACTGACCGGTGACTATGTACTTTGGTGCGTCGTGTTGTGAAGTTATTGCAACTAGGTTGGAATATAATCGAGACTTAATCACGAATCGACGACGTGTATAAATAAACCAGATAATTCGTCCCGAGCGTCCCGAGCGAAGGCGGAAGTTGATGATTTAGGATCGAGAGAGACAGTTTGACGCGGAGTCTCTTTCTTTCCCTATCTTACATCGAGAAAATGTCACGCTATTGCTTTATTCTTGATTTAAAATTGAGCGAGACGCGTAAATTTATTTGCGAATCTATTTGCGCGATTGAACGTTGATATTTACGTTATCTAATATTGAATCGTTGCATATGAAAAATGTCCGCATGCATGCACCTTCGTGAAAATTAATGTTCAAACGAGCTAAGAGTTAATTATCGCGGCCGTGGCAAATATTATCGTTATCTGCCGTCAACTGCCACCCCTACTCCTCCCCCCTTTGCCTTTCTTTTCTTCCATTTGTTCCTGATAAACGCGCGGACACGCAACAGGACTGTGCCATGCTGTTTATTACCGTATGATAACGAGGAATGATTAATTGGGAGGGAAAACGCGGGGACGACGACTTATTTTTATTCGCTTCACTCTGAAAATTGAAATTCATTTGCTTAGCAAGTAATCGAAAACATCGATGAATGTTCCGTGTATTTTTTACGTCCCATGCCAGAGGGATGAGGAACGACGAATTCGACGATGCCAGGGGTGCACACGACGCTGGTTTTAATGAACTCTTTTGCTCGCCACTCGTGCAACCCTTAAACCGCCGTTTTAACCAGTGCCTCTCAAGTCGCACCACTCCGTTCTCTATCCGTTTTCACCGATCAATATTCGCAACCGATCACGAGACAACATTTGTTCTATATTTTATACCGTAGTTTATTCTATACTTCTATATTGAAATTTTATATCCTATTTATCCATATCTCTTATATTCGATATATTGAAAATATATTGAAAAATTTATTCGTTATTTTATAATTTGATTTATTAAACTTTTTTGTACTTCTTTGCACTTTTTTTTTGTATTATTAACTTGTTTGTCCTTTTTGCCACTGTGTTTTGAGCGTCACTGTCACCTGGACAGGTTAGCGATGTCGACAACGCAGAGGGGTGAGAAGCGGGAAGCGGGTGGTGACGAGGGCAGATCTGGTTCGCTTAGTGTGACGAGAATAGAGGCATGTTATTGATTATGGAAAAATACCCCCGACTCAGAGCAGCGCGAAGGGGTGAGGGTAGTTCGCAAGTGTGGTCGACACCCCCTCGTCTTCTTCAAGCCATGTCTTCCAGCTGGTGTTATGGCTACTGTACACCCCGCAATTTCTCTCTTTCTCTCCTTATGTCGTATTTTTCACTTATTCCTTTTTCTTTTCTCTTAATCCGTCTTCCACCCCATTTGTAGTCTATCATCTCTTCATCTGACGGCATAACATCATAATAACGATGCATTCTTACCGGCATTTGTTCCTTCCTCATTGATCAGCTGGTTCATGCAGTTGACATACTAGGGTATCTTCTTATGTAACAAAAGATAGATAATACTTTCAATTAGGAAGAAATCTATTTGAAGCATCTTATTCGTACATACAAGATTTCGATATTAAATATTATATTACTGAATCTGCAATCAATAAACTTAGCATGAAATAATAATTTATACAGGACATCTCAAATAAATTGCATTTTATTTGCGAATTTTTGAGACAATTTTTGGAAAATTTGTTGGGAAACAGTTCGCGATAGGACGGAAGTGTAACGTATTGTTTGAAGATAAAACGAGTTTAACAGAAACTTAGAAAGCGATTGCGAATACAGTGAAAACACAAAGAATTTGATAAAAAGATATAATCGTAAAAAATAGAAAGAGGAAAATAGATTTTTTTTTATAATAAAAAATGAGTATTTTCCATTACCATTAATTAATTTTGTTTGATAAATAATAAATTGAGTCAACTTCAAACATTTTAGACGCGCAACCAACTTTTATTACAATGGTGGTAAATATCGGTGCAATAGATTTTCATTAATTTTTCCTGATAATCTTTACTTTCGTTGATCAATATACATAAGAAAAATTTATTTTAATCATACCTAGAAGTATTTTTCAATTTTGATAATACAAGTAATTTATTCGTTCTTATTTGTCACACGTGATACATAAATGAAGAATTATTTTATCTCTATTATTTTCTTTCAGATTATAACAGATAATAAAGGAGAATTTGATATTTTCTGTTACAGACGAAGTGGATGTGATCGGTTATACGAGCAATCAATCGGACACCGATGATCACAGTAGCGTACAAAGTAGTAGCGACAGCGGTGTCGCGATGTCCACCTCCAGGCTGACTCTTTCTGAAATGATGGACAATCTTTAGGTACGTATACAATCCGATTGATTTCGAAACAAAAACAGGTGTGGAATTCCACTGTAAAAGAAATAATATGAATTTAAAACAAATTGTATTTGAATTAAAATAAGATTTGCTTATAATTTTAATTATTAAAATACATGGGAATAAGCAATTAATTATAGTTGGTCGTGTCCTATAATAATAAAAAAGACACGCTAAGTACGGGAAATCCATTAAGACTGTAAGACATCACCAAAGGAACAAAAATCGAAAGATAGGAAGATAGAATAGAAAGAGGAAGAGTGTAGATGTTTGACAAATAAATTCTCACATTGGTTCCCCTGCGCTGTTTGCAGACAAAGAGGCGGCGAGATGGCGGCGAAAGAAGAAGCGGTTGAAAAAGAGAAAAGGATAGGGGAGGGAAAGATAGAGCGAAAGGAAGAACATCCATTGGGGCGTACGAAAATTGACGGCGCGAGAGATATCGATTCACACACATAAACATATACACATAAAATGCATATTTAAATTCATATTTGTGTCCTTCCAAAATGGCCTGGCTGGCAAAGGCAACATTAAAGAAGAAGACTTTCAGGTATTGCATGACTTTGTGAAGATTTTCGGAAAACGGAGAAGATTTCAAAAATCGCGGAAATCACTGAAGAATGGGAAGAGTCGTAAAAATTTAGAAGAGCTCGGAAGACATCGATCTTAACGCAAAGAAAAAGAAGAAAATAAAGAAGATTGAAGTCATCTTTGATACCATCTTGGATACCATCTAGCCTATAACATAAAAAATAAGTAATTTTTGGGACTTTGAAGTCGTTAAAAATTATTTATAAAACGAGGGACTGATTCGAAGAATATGTATTCAAGTATATTACAGATGCTTACAAAAAGAATTCGAAAAAGAGAAGAGAGGAACGTGAAAGAGGAGAAGAGATTTTGACGCCAAGAAAAAACAGACCATCTTACAAAAACACTTATCGTATAAAAGTGTAAGGAAAATAGAGACCAAATTGAGCAAAAAGAAAAAGAAAGAATATTGAAAAGGAGAATGTATGTATTAAAAATCTTACTGCAAATTATATTTGACATCTTAAAGAAAAGGCAATATCCAGAAATCCAATCACAAGAAAATCAAAGAAGGTTTCGCGATCAAGAAGAAAATCAATGAAAACGATACTTTTGAAAAATTATAAGTGCAAACTGAAAGATTACAGCACATTTTCAAAATGAAAGTAAAATATAATACGCATGAAAGAAAATTAAAGAAAAAAAATAAAAGAAGAGACAGAAGAAAAAAAATAAAATTAATTTTGAATGAATAAAAAATGTAAGAGAAAAACTAAGAATAATTGAAATGAGCTAAGAATAATTGAAATGAGCTAAGAATAATTGAAATGAGCTAAAAAACTAAGAATAATTGAAAATGAAGATATATAAGAAGAAATTTTAAACATTTAACCAAGAAAAAGCCAGCAACTTTTTGAGAAAGTTAACTTGCATAAAATAAAGGACGGCAACATACGAAACAAAAATAAAACGAAAAGGTAACAAGCGCGACTTTGAAAATGCAAAAAATAAAGAAGATAGTTGTAAATTATCAAGAATTGAACAGAGAATCGCAGCAACATTGTACATATTTTTAAGAACAAACAAATTTATTGAGAGAGCGTAAATATGTATGAGAGAGAGAGAGAGAGAGAGAGAGAGAGAGAGAGAGAGAGAGAGAGAGAGAGAGAGAGAGAGAGAGAATGGATGAGAAAGAGAGTGAGAGAGAAAGTAAGAAATTAAATGGGAAATGGAAACGTTGAACAGAAGCAGTAAGAAAATTCTTCGTTTTGTTGCAGGCTTAATCTATTATTCTTGCAGAAATGAATAAAGCGTTGATTGATCATTTCGAGACTCAATCGTTGAAACATGCGTTTTTTCGATTTAGTTTTCACAATATTTGACAAAATTAAAAATTTATTCTTAGAAATATATTTTGAAGAGTTAATTAATTAATTAATTAATTTTGTTATTTTAAATTATAGAGATTGATTCATAAATAATTCTCAATTTTTCAATTAATATCGTAATAAATTTTTAATTTGGTTTAAAAAATATAAAGAGAGAGAGAGAGAGAGAGAAAGAGAGGAAATGGAATAAAAATAAACTAAATATATAGAAATTTATAAAATTATTTCAAAGTAATTAGTTAAAATTATAATACTAATTTTAATTATAATATCATTTTATAAAGCCAATTTCTAAAAAGCCAAAATTTATAGTTTTATTAAAATTAATATAGAAATTTTTCTTAATAAAAATTTATTACGAAATTAGTCGAAAAATTTTTGGAAGTATTTATAAAGCAATTTGTTTAACTCAAAACGACAAAATTATTTATTAAAATAATTTGTAATATATATAAATACATATATCAGAGATAGATTATATAATAAAATTATTCTACAAATTTATATTCGTAAAATTGTACATTTAATTTAAAATTCAAATTATATATATGCAGTATTTGGAATTAATTATAATATGTTAAGATCATAAAATATGAAATTATTTTTATAATATAAAATTGTGTATAAAAAAATTAGAATTAACTTTAAAAAATTATATGAAATTATTCGGTAAACCATTAAGTCATTTTCCAAACTAAATTGTGAATTTCTTCCATTCAATGATATTTAAGTAAACATACAAATAGTTCATTAAGTAAACTTACTAAAGAAACAATCCCTGCGCCGTCGACACGTTTTTAAGAAGAAGTAAAAATCTGCAAAAAAATCGACATCGCGTAATATAGAAGGATATGAGAGAAGGGAAAATGTATTTAGAGAATGAAGAGAAAAGAAGACAAAGAAAGACAAACGGCTGATTTCTCGATGAATAATGAATTGCGATTTATTAATAGACTACAATGCAGATTTACACAGATACAAGTGAACACACAGACACACACACACACACACACACACATACATATACATATATGTTAAGCCATTATTATTCTGTAATTAAGTGAGCAAAGCAAAGTATAAAAAGCAAAAAAAGTAAACTGATAATTATAATATGGCGTAAGTGATGTTTCATTATACATATATATATATATATATATATATATATATATATATATATATAAACACATAGAGTGTCCCTTATTTATAGATAATAAATAGGAAAAGTCCTGAGTGATTTTTGCTCTTTTTGCAGAATTTATAACGCATTTTATTAATCTTGTTCTAAAAAGAAACAAGGATTAAAAAACAAAAATAAGAAAGTTATGAACAAAAGAAATGAAAAAATAACTAAAAAAATTATAAGATAAAAAATTGAGGAGATAAATATTATCAAAGATAATGATTCTATAAAAAAATTGTCTTAAAATTTAAGAGACTTGTTATTATAAAAGAAATAATATATAGGCTGCTGTGTGAATGCAATTGAAATAATAAGGGACACTCTAATACACATTCGAAGAGTACAAATTCCGCAAATCCCTCAAGGGGTGTTCTCGGGGCTGTTACCTTTTTATGTGATGCGTTTCTTTTTCACGAGAATGATCTTTGACTATTCCTAGATCATTGAATGATTTAGAAACAAATAAACTAGATAGTGGATCGAAAGCGATACAATGTCGCTGAGTTCATATATCGAGTAGGAGCGTACGAGAAACTTATTGTGACGTGAATGACATAATAATTGATATATATATATTCTTTTCCAATTTAATAAAGATAATATCTTTGAATAACTTTTCTCTATGTTTTTTTATATTAAGAAATATAAAAATTATTATTATCTAAGAAGAAAGTTGGAGAATATTATATTATTTTGATTCAGATATGTGTGTGTGAAACACAAGCATGTGGCAGACTATGGCACGAAATATTGTAAGAACTCAACGAAATTATAACGATTTCGATGCCTAATCTAAAAAAATATTGAAAGTCGGGAATTCTCTTAAAGGGCAAAAATTCGTACGATAAGATTCTGTCTTTTGTAAGATCGGCTTTGGATAATATGCGTTAATGGATAGACTGATTACCAAATGTAATGGATGATCTCTGAAGACCGACGTTAAATTGTAAGCTGGAAGCGAACTTTTTTATGAGCATATTTCGGAAAATATTCCCTCGCAGAGCATGTGCCGTTAGTTAACCCTTTAACTTTCCTTCATATGTTTGAGATATATAAATCGGCCGGAGAATCATTAAAGTGCAAGGATAAATTATAGCTATTCAAAATGATTGAAATTAGCGAAATATACCAAACAGAATTTTTGCAATTCACAAGAAAAAGATATTTACAGATATTGATATTTACAACATATTTATAACATATTTTTTATTATAAAACGTTTATTTGTTTTTATGAAAAAAAATTCTATGACAAATTAATACTATGCTCTATGAGATTTCTTGTATACAAACACATATTTTAAAAATATCTTTCGATATTATTTTTATTTTTATTTCATTTTTCGATTTATTTTTATATGTGTTTCTATATGTTTCTTTTATTTCTATTTAGTTTATTTTAAACATTTATTATCATGATATTTTATTAAGATACAGTATTAATATTATTAATATTATATAGTAAAATTAATTATGATAAAACGAAAATATATTCTGGAGAAATTAAGTGTTAAACATTAAAAACTTTGAATTAAATTTAATTTATTTAGAATTAAAATTTAAAAACTCTTTAACACATACATAAAATTGAAAAATATATCAATTAAGAAATTTTGTTTTTTAAGTAAAAAATTTTTTAAGAAATTCCAGATCGTGAAAATAATTTAATTTTCTCAATTATTGTTTTCTTTTTATATTCCGAGCAATATTATATAATAAGTAAATATTTGTAAATAATTTCATAATGATATAAATTAATAAACAAATTGAACATTTATACATATTAATTGTACAAAAAAATTTTATAATTTAAATTTATAATATATTTCAGATTTCTAATTCTTCCTTTTAGAGATTTCTGGATTTTCAATTAAATAGATTTAAAATTTTTGATTTTAAAATATGGCTATATATACATATATATATATATATATATATATATATATATATATATTTTTTTTTAATCTAAAAATTGATTTAAATATGTTTTAAAAATTATAATTTCCAATTTATGAATTTAAAATTTTTAGAAATAGAGATTTTGTAAAAATTTTTGATTATTTTCTGTTCTAATTTTTAAGAAATTGAATATTTAAAATTTTGGTAGATAAATATAAATATTTATTTTTTTTGTGAATTTTTTTAATAGCTATAATATTTAAAATATTAAAACAAATTTTGTGTAATCTTAAACTTAAAGTTATATAAGAAATAGTTTTGTTCTTAAAACATTTATGCTAAATTTTAATTTATAATTTCAGAATACAAAAAAAATTAATAACCGAAGTAATTAAAATATTTTTAATTCTAAAGAAGAATTCTAAGATTAGTTAACTTATAGATTTAACTTAAGAGTTTAACTTTAAACTGTGTGTGTGTGTGTGTGTAAGTTAAAGGGTTAACTGTGTGTCAGGTTAATATAGATGAAGGACATAAAAAAACACAAACACATGGACAAAAAAACAAGGCAGTAGCCAATAAAAGAAAGACAGGGAATGAGATTGCGAAGATGATAAAGGTTCATAAAAGATCAAAGGACAAGGTCAAATCCCGCCGAAAAAGCGACCAAGCCAAGTGAAATATTTTCAGCGAGGCACGCTGCGATTTTTAATATTGAATCATATATTGATTGTTGTATCAACAATCGTCTATAACTAAATCGCAATCATATTGGTTGTTGCACGAATCCATCGCGGCGAACACATTACATTTATAAATGGCGGGCTTTGGCCGCAATTGTATGATCTATGACTTTATCTTTTAGCACACATAAATCTGGAATTTTAATGTTTTTTTCTTTTACATAGAAACTGTAAACAGAATATTTTTTATTTTTTCTAAATTTATTTCAACGAAATTTGAGAGATTTTCTTCTAAGAGTTGAATGGAATATTAGATATGTTCAACTGAAACGTAGACTATAAGATAGTTATTCCATAAAAAAATATCAATCTATGTTTCAGTTGAATGTATCATATATTTTTGACAATATTAGAAATTATATTGATTTGAGCGCTTCCGTGCTATTTTGAAAAAAAAAATTATTAGGATTCTTGTTTCTTTATAGTAATATTGGATTACGATAATAGAAATGATAAATGTGAATTTTTTGCTTGCATAATGCGCCGAAATAAATTAGTGTTTTTGTATACCATCTCTACGCGTTTGATATTCACATGATTTTTCATTTTGATGTCGTAATTCAATATGATTGCACTAAGGAATCAGGAATCATAATCTATAGATTGATTTTATTGATTTCAATTTTTTCCGAAAATAATGTTTGTCGTTTATCTAATTCAATTAATTAATGATTATTAATTAATTAAAGGAGCAACTTGAAATAAAAATGATCTATACTGAATTGCCGTTGATCTTCGTACGCCAGAACGATAAAAAGTTCTTCAAAAAATAAAAAAAAACGAAAAAATACGCGTAGAACAAAAATGAGGGAATCACGTCAAGAACCAACAAAAAACCTAATGACTACAAAAAACTGTAAAATCTCCTCCCCCCCTCCAAAAAAAATAATAGGCGCAAAAATAAACGAGACCTCTGCGTAGAATTTTAAAGAAGCAAATCAATTAATTAAAACAAAAATTTAAAAAAAATTTTTTTCAACATGCATAAAAAATCGTCTTTATTTTAACTCAGTTTTATAATAAACGGAATACAAATTTTATTACAAATAAAGAAATTTTATATATATATGTATCATAATAAATAATTATCTTTTAATTTTTTTTAAAGATCTAGTTTAAACATTAAAT